GCCCACCCAGGTGAGTAAATGATGTGCTAGTCCATTATGATATAGTCAAACAGTCACCTTTATGCTCTTAAAACGGGTGTCTATTACGGCACGGCAAGCTATTGGCATATCGTAAAAATAAAGACATCACTAGTGAGCATTGAACCGGGCGGATTGTATCATCACTAGGAGACTAGGCGATGTACTAAATAGAATGTCGTGTAAGGAGAGGAGAGAGCGAATCATCTCTGTGCCAATGAAAACATATGTGGTCTGTTATAGTTTGACAGACTAGTCACATATCATGTAGGTTCGAAACATCGCTGATAAACATTTAAAAAGAGTGAATTAAACCAAGCAGATGGTATCATCCTTGAGAGAGATGTATTGCTATGAATACATGTGTATGGCTATTATATATCAAAGGATGGATAAACATGGGTGCCAAAAGGGGACATGATGAATACAAGGCTAGCTGTTTTCCCATTTGTTTATAATGGATAATGTATTTGGATATTTTTCCTATCTAAATATGAGAGATTGTCACGATTCTGGAACCTAACACGCTAACAGGTCACAGAGAGGGAGGGTGCTATACCGGTCCTTAGAGTGGCCGGGCTAAGCACACTAAGAATGGTCAGGAGACAAGCCAAGTAAAGGGAGCCAGAAAACGGGAGAACGAGAAACAAGCCAAGGTCAAAGGAGTGGAGAAGACAGGATAATCGGAATAACGAGCCAAATAATCGGAAACCAGAGAGCAACATGAGAAAACTGCACTACAGGTATCACAAGACCACAACAGGGCACTGAGAGACAGGAAAGGTAAGTATAAATACCCTTTGCTTAATTCTGATTAGATAACTTCCAATCAGAATTAACAATCACAAGTGGGAGATATCTACGCCTCCCACTGTGATTTTGGTACTGTTGCTTTAAATTTGCGACCTCCCAGCGTGCAGCGTTATACATGCTGCCGCTGGGAGGCGTGGAGGACGCGAGCGGCGAGCGGCGGAGAGGAGACGCCGCTCGCCGGCAGGTAGGAGGAGGGGAGACCGCTGACCCCTGACAGAGATATTTTGAGTATATGCTATGGTGCTCTTAAGTCCTCGTAAAGGCTTGTATGTACATTTGATGCAAGACATAATAGTCGCTCAATAGATTAATAAAGTTCTCTCACAAGAATGATGGTTCTCACAAAAAATATGGTACCATAGGTTTTCGTAAAGATTTGTATGTATATTTTATGCAGGGGATAAGAATCGATCTATGGATATTGCATAACAGATTAATAAAGTTCTCACAAACATTAAGTAAAACGTATATAATGCTGTGCTCAACATTTGTAGTGTAATAAATTATAGTTACATATGTAGTCGATATGTATGGCTACAAAGTATGAATGGATTATGGACGGGTCATAGATTTCCACTTGAGGACATAAACGTTGTCTCAAATGTCTCAAATGCAAGAGAAAATTACTAGTGCAATAAATTTACAGTGCTGATGTTGTGGAATAATGTGTATATGTTTTAAGGCCATTTGGCCTGTATTTGTGGGAGGGGCTTAAATTAATTAACTCCCCTATATAAGGGACACCCCTTACCTGACTCATATCGCTTGAGGTCAGCATCAGAATGATTTCCACTTCCGGGTCATCCAGACGCCATTTTACCTGATTACTCCATGAGGTTTTCTAAGCTGAGCTGTGTCAGGAATTCAGCCACAGGCTTTTCCGGCCTACCACCTTCTTTCTTCAATCTATCGCTGTGGATGGTGTCCAAGTGACTCACAAACCGTAAGTCGACCTACCCGTTACGCCAGGCATCAGTCCCACGGCACCATGCACGGGTCAGGTCCTCACTTTACGGCTGCATTTTGTCTAAATCTGTCCTAAAACCATTGGATGTTCATGCATATCATTCGTTTAAATTCACTTGTTTATATCTGTCACTGGCTCATTTCGAGCATTAGCATACTCCCAAACGGGAACACATTCTGTTTCAATTGCCTGAACATACTAGGCAATTCTGTGCATGCATTTCGAATCTCACTGCTCGTTTCATTTTGTTTCCCTGACATACCAGGCTCACGGTTCGTGCAATTTTCTACCAAACGGGAACTACCAACCATGAACAGAACTTTGGTTTGTTACAATGACTGTTATTAAGCTATTATGTTCACTTATTGTATATTGTCAAACGGGCACTGTTTGTTTCCCTGTCACACAACTATAATGCTGGGGCATAGCTCACAAACAATGTTTCACATAAACCACACTGACCCCTACAGGTCACTCTCAAAATCTCACGTTAACCTTGCATTTGTATTAACCCCTTAAGGACCAAACTCTGGAATAAAAGGGAAACATGATATGTCTCACATGTCATGTATCCTTCACGGGTTAAAGGGTATTTTACCATACAATCAGCATTTCTGACCCCTACTGGTCAACAGCAAAACTGTCTTCACATGTCATATACAATTACCAGCCAATATAAATTACACATAAGATTGTTTTAAACATAACCATAAACCATGAATTAAACTCCAACACAGGCTCAACTTCAGGTTTAATTCACAATAATTTACATTTCACATTAACACTAACAGTGGTTCTATCAACACTGCCACCTACAGGTCTGTCAAGTACATTGACAATTTTCATGGGGTTTTACAAACACCAAAACACTGACCCCTATAGGTCAACAGACAAACAACATTTCACATACAAATCAGTATCAACTACACTGCCACCTATAGGGCACTCGGCAGATCTCCAGTGCACTTGAATTTTGCAACTCCATGTTCACCTGCCATTCAATAAGGCATACAACAATTCACATAGCAAGCAGTATATCAATATCTGTTATAAATACACATATTATTACACAGTAGCACACGCATCTGTATATACGTAACTGGTAATATGGTTCACTTACATACGGCACTTAATGGGTTAAGATTGATACATATTTAACCACTATGGATATGATGTTTAATATTTACATATCACGGCACTTTACTTTCACATATACTGTATGTTTTAAGATAAGCTTGGTCTATGCCATATTTCCTTATGCCATACGATTTTATCCATTCAGGTTACAGTTACTACTAAAAAACCTATACGGATTGTCAGGTTCAATACCATACTACCAGGTACGTACACCTGCTCACGTAGTTATCCATCTCTTACCTTCCCTGGAATAGTAATAGTGTACTGGCAATTAGGGTTCTAGGGCCCAATAGGTATTACCCCCTTTTTTCTCTGCATTATGCTTCGGTTAGTGGTCCCGCGAGGCCAACACCCCGCCTCACACTCGGAGGCATACACCCCTCGGGCCACTCGTGAGCTAGCCGCCTCGCATTGTATCATAGAGAGGGCCTCACCTGTCACTCCCCTTCCTATTTTTATGGTTACTGTCACCGAGAGGCCAACATCCTGCCACAACGTTCGGTGGCCACACAAAATCCCCTCGCGCCAAGCATAGATAGAGCCTCTCAAGCCACTTGGCAACTAGCAGGGCCTCACCAGTCACAAAAAAACACCAAGCCTAATCGTTTCGCCTTACGGCTTAGCTAGCATGCCGGTACAAGACCCCTGGGTACAAATATATAATTGCAATCTTTATTGTTATTTAAGTATTTCTCAAAAAGATGGTAAAGAATCACCTCTTCCTAGCACCACGGCTAGAAGTGATACACCTTCATCTCCTACCTTCCCTGGAATAGTAGTAATGTACTGGCAATTAGGGTTCTATGGCCCAATAGGTATTACCTCCTGTTTTCTCTGCTTTACGCTTTGGTTAGTGGTCCCGCGAGGCCAACACCCCGCCTCACACTCGGAGGCATACACCCCTCGGGCCACTCATGAGCTAGCCGCCTCGCATTGTATCATAGAGAGGGCCTCACCTGTCACTCCCCTTCCTATTTTCTGGTTACTGTCACCGAGAGGCCAACATCCTGCCACAACGTTCGGTGGCCACAAAAAATCCCCTCGCGCCAAGCATAGATAGAGCCTCTCAAGCCACTTGGCAACTAGCAGGGCCTCACCAGTCACCAAAAAACACCAAGCCTAATCGTTTCGCCTTACGGCTTAGCTAGCAAGCCAGTACAAGACCCCTGGGTACAAATAATAATTGCAATCTTTATTGTTATTTAAGTATTTCTCAAAAAGATGGTGAAGAATCATCTCTTCCTGGCACCCCGGCTAGAAGTGATACACCTTCAAGCAGAGGAGATGTGGCTCCGACCTAAGGAGGCGACAAATCCCCTACCCTGCCACAGCAAGGAAAGCAGAGTTATTCAAACTCCTCCATACATCAACGGACAACACGGAAGCAGGGGAAGGCCCAGCAACACCAACTCAGGTGACACCCAGGCCATGCTAGCCTCACTCATAAACTCATGAGCCAAAAAATTTACGACAGACTGGCAATCTCGAGTCAGTCACAGCCCTCACAAGGCTGGGCCTCACTGTACAACCAGCACCAACCGAAACTCAGTTACTTGGTTCAAGACGTTAACGTTGCACATATGATCCCGGCACATTGGGGAAACAAGGCATATATATGTATGATGATGTATCTATGATGGTCAGACCCAGGGATTCTAGGTAAATCGGGAACTGACCATCCCTTGGTTGTGTTGGCATTTGGAATATGTAGAGATGTTTATTTGTGCAGGTACCCATACAGAAGGGGTTCTGTCCCAAACAAATGGACGAGCACTCTCAGGCTCCAGGTACCAGCACCTCTGAACTACCAGAGACAATTGGTATTAGTAGTTGCATTGCATATAGACTGTTGCATATATGTTCAAATCATTCAGGGCACATGACAAACCATGTGTCCCAATACAACTTACAAATAACGTACTCACCATCTGTACACACCAATGCATTTTCAACACTACTGACTCATCACCCTTCCAGACTTGTAGTAGATTTACTAAGGCTCTGGAGCTTCAAAGGGCTCCCATACAGGTATCATAAATAAACTCTCAAGGAATATAGTATGCCCTCACTTACAGTCAGCACAACAGAACCGTCGGCTGTAAACACACTCATAGCCAAGATTTGCAGAGGGGTTTTTACTTGGGTTTTCCAATCTCCACCATTTACAGCATGGCACAAAACACAAACACATTGGTATTGTCACAAGGGAATCTTCCCTTAAACAAAGACTAACCATAGACTTATTGGCACCACACACCTTCGCTACCCCAAGTCTCAACTCCCTCATACCCTCCGAGGAGTTTCCTTACTATACACACCATTGATCTACCTTTACAGCTATCACTCAAGCATGGGTTGAAGCTTTGTTAAGTAAGACCAATATCATCAACACAGTAAACGGCTCATGGTCAGGGTCATCAATCCGTTGTTACTCAGACAACTAAGCACGTCATATCATTAACAAATGCCACTCATCATCCATACGATCATGGTATTGCTGGGGAACTCACTTGGTTGGCCACTTACCACATTTCTTTTACTTTCATGTACCAGGCGGGGGTATACATCCTTGCTGACAATTGTCTCATTTATATTCCAGGCACGTTCATCATACGCTTCCTACAGCCGCCCATACAGTCACGGCCACTCTTTCGTTCCAGAGACAAAATCATGGATTAGACATACTCATGCAGCATAGCATGCACTATCCCACCTAGCACTTTCATCCCATACTTGTAGAACGCATAACACCTATTCACCTGGCTTTAAAGAATCTCATTGGAACACGACATAGCTCAACCTGTGTCATAACATTTCTCCTAGGTTTTGCTTCATTTTTGCCACCTTAAACTAAAACCATCTCACACACCATTAATTATATATTTTACAGGCATTCAACAACACAGGATAACCTATGGCCAAAACTACCATAACTTCATGCTATCATACCAGACAAGAATATACTCAGAGGTTTTCAGGAATCCATCCCCCCACGTTCCTCTCAGATATTACCAATAGCCATCCAACTTTTCCATCCTTATCGGACCTATTAGAGCTACAACCATTCAATTATACTACCAAGTTGGCCATTACCACCATGCACACTGCCTTTTATGCCTTTCTCAGGCCAGAGAATCCACTACCATAACCACCACTCAGACAGATCATTGTCTTCAACGATCCCACGTATGTAAACACATATATCATTACCTACTGGCTCTACCACATTCTGAAACGAGTCAACACGCACCAACCGTAGAGATAACATACTATCCTACCCACAACAAATGGTGTCCAGTTGTGGTCCTAGATTTCTACCTTCAAAAATCCTTCCAGGAATTAAATACCGTAATGCATTTAAGGAAATGTCTGGTTAATTTGTATATATTGTTGACTGTATTAAATCTTTGATTATTCTTTTTGCCCTCTTTATTTACAGGCCTACCGTATCGTCGGTCTCGGCACACCACAACCGACTTGCTCCCTTTATACTATCCTACGCTTATGCTGGAACCTTACTCCATATACGGCTATTTGCCCCGAACACAAGTTTTAAGGCCATTTGGCCTGTATTTGTGGGAGGGGCTTAAATTAATTCACTCCCCTATATAAGGGACACCCCTTACCTGACTCATATCGCTTGAGGTCAGCATCAGAATGACCCTCCCACCCACTCCTCATTCAACACTTTCTATTTTCTTTCCATTTACTTTATTTACTTACTCCTTGGTGGGCCCTCTTTATTTACAGGCCTACCGTATCGTCGGTCTCGGCACACCACAACCGACTTGCTCCCTTTATACTATCCTACGCTTATGCTGGAACCTTACTCCATATACAGCTATTTGCCCCGAACACAAATATATATATATATATATATATATATATATATATATATACAGGGAGTGCAGAATTATTAGGCAAATGAGTATTTTGACCACATCATCCTCTTTATGCATGTTGTCTTACTCCAAGCTGTATAGGCTCGAAAGCCTACTACCAATTAAGCATATTAGGTGATGTGCATCTCTGTAATGAGAAGGGGTGTGGTCTAATGACATCAACACCCTATATCAGGTGTGCATAATTATTAGGCAACTTCCTTTCCTTTGGCAAAATGGGTCAAAAGAAGGACTTGACAGGCTCAGAAAAGTCAAAAATAGTGAGATATCTTGCAGAGGGATGCAGCACTCTTAAAATTGCAAAGCTTCTGAAGCGTGATCATCGAACAATCAAGCGTTTCATTCAAAATAGTCAACAGGGTCGCAAGAAGCGTGTGGAAAAACCAAGGCGCAAAATAACTGCCCATGAACTGAGAAAAGTCAAGCGTGCAGCTGCCACGATGCCACTTGCCACCAGTTTGGCCATATTTCAGAGCTGCAACATCACTGGAGTGCCCAAAAGCACAAGGTGTGCAATACTCAGAGACATGGCCAAGGTAAGAAAGGCTGAAAGACGACCACCACTGAACAAGACACACAAGCTGAAACGTCAAGACTGGGCCAAGAAATATCTCAAGACTGATTTTTCTAAGGTTTTATGGACTGATGAAATGAGAGTGAGTCTTGATGGGCCAGATGGATGGGCCCGTGGCTGGATTGGTAAAGGGCAGAGAGCTCCAGTCCGACTCAGACGCCAGCAAGGTGGAGGTGGAGTACTGGTTTGGGCTGGTATCATCAAAGATGAGCTTGTGGGGCCTTTTCGGGTTGAGGATGGAGTCAAGCTCAACTCCCAGTCCTACTGCCAGTTCCTGGAAGACACCTTCTTCAAGCAGTGGTACAGGAAGAAGTCTGCATCCTTCAAGAAAAACATGATTTTCATGCAGGACAATGCTCCATCACACGCGTCCAAGTACTCCACAGCGTGGCTGGCAAGAAAGGGTATAAAAGAAGAAAATCTAATGACATGGCCTCCTTGTTCACCTGATCTGAACCCCATTGAGAACCTGTGGTCCATCATCAAATGTGAGATTTACAAGGAGGGAAAACAGTACACCTCTCTGAACAGTGTCTGGGAGGCTGTGGTTGCTGCTGCACGCAATGTTGATGGTGAACAGATCAAAACACTGACAGAATCCATGGATGGCAGGCTTTTGAGTGTCCTTGCAAAGAAAGGTGGCTATATTGGTCACTGATTTGTTTTTGTTTTGTTTTTGAATGTCAGAAATGTATATTTGTGAATGTTGAGATGTTATATTGGTTTCACTGGTAATAATAAATAATTGAAATGGCTATATATTTGTTTTTTGTTAAGTTGCCTAATAATTATGCACAGTAATAGTCACCTGCACACACAGATATCCCCCTAACATAGCTAAAACTAAAAACAAACTAAAAACTACTTCCAAAAATATTCAGCTTTGATATTAATGAGTTTTTTGGGTTCATTGAGAACATGGTTGTTCAATAATAAAATTAATCCTCAAAAATACAACTTGCCTAATAATTCTGCACTCCCTGTATATATATATATACATACATACATACACACAGGTTAATTATTCAGAAATAAATTAGGCATAACCCAGATGGAAATAAGGTTTTCAATTTGTAAATCCAAAAGCTCTCTCTCTGCAGTTGGTTTGCGAAAGAGTGTCATGGCCAGTTTGCCATCTCTTTCTATACTGATGGTGACATCTAAGAAATTAATCAGTTTATCTCCTAACTCCGAAGTTAGCTTATGATTAATGTCATTAACATTAAGTATATCCACAAATTCCTTAAACAAGTCCCTCGTGCCTGTCCATACGATCAAGATATCATCTATGTAGCGTTTCCACATTGCGATGCATCTAGTGTAGTTCTCAAGGCCTTCCTCAAATACCGTAGTTCATTCCCACCAACCCAGGTGGAGGTTGGCATATGAGGGGGCACAAGATGTCCCTATAGCTGTTCCACTCCCCTGGTGGTTTACCATCTTGAGAACTACACTAGATACATGTGGAAACGCTACATAGATGATATCTTGATTGTATGGACAGGCACGAGGGACTTTTTTAACGAATTTGTGCAGATACTTAATGTTAACGACATTAACGTTAAGCTTCTACCTATATTTATGTCTAGGGGTTAAGCCCCGAGACACCCCTGGAGTGTCTCAATGGTGTACCCTTTCTGTGACTGTGGATACAGCTCAGGACACACGCAGTGTTACGCTGGTGTCCTGGTGATAGGATTTCCAATCATAGAAATCCCTCTATTATTTTCTATAGCTGACAGAGAATTTTTCTAGATCGGCTATCTTGACTTTTCATTTGAAACTCATTTGAAATCTCACTTAAGTGAATAACCCTGTTTGTGTTCAATGCAAGTTATAAAACCCTTTTTCAATGAGCCAAGAAAATGACTTTCCTGTTACTGGTCACTGAAACCAGAACCAGGACTGTCAGCTGGACAAAATATTAGTAAATAATAAATAATTAAATCAAAATTGCCATCAATATGTCGGAATATAGAGAGGGTTCATACGTAGATTCAAGTGATTAAAATAGCCTAAATGGCTCTTCTCCTGTCTAAAGGACTCTTAGACGTAAAGAATCTATTTGAGACTCAGGACTTTAATATAATCAACCATAGTATGTCCATGTCAACAGTAAAAGCGGTTGTGGAATGAGCCTTTAAATTAACTCCTGTAATCTAGATGGAAAAGACAATCAGTCAAGGAGGAACTTTGAATAGTGGCTGTATATAAAGTAACACTTGTAGCAAAGCCCGCTGTATCAAAAAAGCTACAATAAGAGTGTAGTTAAGCAATCAGCAATTAAGGATAACAGCATTTAGCTGGATACCAAGTAACATATAATAAAAGGAAAAAAGTCTACATGAAAATTCGTAGATTAATCACAAAATATGTCATAAATGATAAATCTTAAGTTAGTGGTTTCCTAAATCGCTATGGGGTACAAAGAGTATCTGTTGCCCCCTCAAATACATACAGAGCCAGTCCAGATTCCTCAATCAAATAGATAGTTCCAATCTAGATAGCATATCAGGAGTGACAGGAGGAAAAGGTGAAAAATTAGGAAATAATAGTGCTAATGTGTAGAACCATGCTTAGAGTGCTGGTTACCTACACATCGTGAAATAGTGCCCTAGAAGTGAAAATAAAAAGTGAGTGAAAGTGAAGGAGAAAAACCTCCTTCAACCCGACGCGCGTTTCGGTGCTGTGATGCACCTTCGTCAGGGGCTGAATTCGTTATGGACCCTAGACCTTGTTTAAATACCCCTGGTATTGTAACTGTTGAGAGGATTCCACCAATCAGGGTTCCTATGTCCTCTCCCAAAACCTATTAACACCTATTAACAC